GTGCACAGTGAGGTCTCGCTGCTGTTTGAACTCGCCCGCCGCTGGGGACCCGTGACACCCAGCGTCTGGCCATCCGTGGATCTGGGGTGACGTGTCTGCTCACACGTTTGGCTCACTTTATAATCCGGCCGTTTTCTTGCGGTTGAGTCGTAAGTTGCCTTCGCGCGTTGCAAATATTTTCTCGGTCCGTCCAGTCTTCTGACGGTATCTTTTGCAGAGCGGACACTTTGAATTCGAACGAAGTCCAGCTCGGTCATTCTTCCTTCCCTGGGTCGTCCCTTTGGTGTCGTGTCTAAAACAGTCACCGCCGAACGTGAGGTCACCTAGATTCTCCCGCGTCATCTTCCAGGAGTTTCGCTCCGCGTTCTGCCTTTGGGTCTGTGATCCGTTCCACGTTAATCTTTGCGAAGGGCGAGAACTCCGTGTCCGGAGGCAGTTTTTGGCGTGGGGACGCCCGGGGGGTCCAGCACCACGTGTTGAAAGGACCGTGTCCTCTCCGTCGGGTCACCTGTGCTCCCCGTGCGAGGCGATCTCCGGCCTCTGTGACGCGGGCCTGTCTCCGGGCTCCGTTCGGCCCCGTCGACCGCGCGTTGTCCCCAGTGCCTGCTGCCCGGACGGCTGCAGCTTCGCGGTGAGTCTCGGCGTCGGGCGGCGGCGCCCCAGCTCCGTCCCTCTCCTTCGCGTGTCCCCGCCGCGGCCACGGCCGCGATTCGCTTTCAGAGACGTCGCGGCCACGGCTGTGTGAAAGACGCCGTCCCTGGGGACCCCGCGCGGTGACGCGGGGACGCTGCTCCGTTTTCTCAGACGGCCGCGCCCACGGGAACGCGTCGTTTCGGGTCGGCCGCAGTGCTGCGTCCGCTCGAGCCAGCTGGCTCTCTGTCGACTGGGCCTGCTGGGAAATGATTTAAAAATTCAAATGTTGAGAGTTTCAAGGATCGTACGTATGGATTTTTGGGGGAACGTCCCAATTTTATAAATGTGATTCTCTCCCAGAAGGGAGGGCCACTAAATGAATACCTTACATTTTCTGGGGTTTTTTTTTGTTTTTTGTTTTTTGATGAGAAGCAATGATTAATCATGCTAAAAAGAACCGTAAGAAGATGTGATTATAATTGTGGCTTTGTGTAAGTACCTCGTGAGGCGGGACGTCCCCTGGGCACTTTTCAGCTTTGGGGCCGATTTAGGAGGGAGGGGCGCGTGAGCCGAGCGGTGTGGGCTCTGCTGGCCGCCTTCGGCCATTTGCCCCGGGACACCGGGCCCCAGGGAAGGACGGCAGCCGTTAGGTCTTGCTGGGAAGGAAGAGCACAGCCACCAGTGCCTGGCCACGTGGCCTTCCCCGGACGAACGCCATAGCGTGACATTGGCTTTGAACTGTGTGGCCGCAGCTTGCCTGCCAGGCAGACGTGAGGCCAACGCCCAGCCCCAGGGCCGCTATGCGGGGGTCTGGGGAGGAATCGAATCCAGCACCCCTCGTCCTAATCACAGCTTGGGGGCTAAGGACAGTCGCTCGTTCTGGCTAGAGCCTGTATGGATTCTGGATTCCTTCTCTTCAACTTAATGGACTTTTTAAATCAAAAACCCACCTCGCTTAAGCCACTCAGAAGTGTTTTACCTTTAATAAAAGAAAAGGTGGCCGCTGTGGCCATCCCCTGCCCCAGCGATGCTGTGGCCTTGGGGACGGTCCGCTGGGCTGTCCCGAAGTGTTCCAGACTCCAGATGCACGTGAGCCTTAGCGACGGGACTGGCTGCCTCCCGTCCCTGCCGTTCCCAGGAAAACGAGGCTTTGTGGGCGCTGCTGGCTGTCAAAGGTCAGTGGGCAGTGGGGCCGTGTTGTCCTAAAAGAGATTTCGAAGCATCGTCTTTGCAAAGCCCGTGTAGCGATGAAATGTTGTTCTCCCTTTTCCCACCTCGCTCATCCAGCCGTACCTGTTCGAATGTTTGATTGCACACCTGTTCCCACACGCAGCGCATTGGCCTGGGCTCTTTTGAATTCTGTTGAATGGGCTTGATGTTAAGTTACTTTAAAGACTCCATTGCCACTCGGAAGACCCGGAGGGATTTCCAGTGACCGCATTTGGGTCATGGAGATGCCACTTTGCAATGTAAGGGAGGCCACTTCGGGGAAGGCCGGACGAGAGGCCTTGTCTTTCTGAGAATCTACTACGGAGCAGGAAGCCTGGGCTATTCAAAGATTTGTCCTCTCGTGCTTTCAAATCCGAAATGGAGACGCCGTAGCGTCAGCACCGTGGAGATTCGGGGTCTGCGCGAGGCTCACGAGGGGCCGGCTTTAAAAAAATTCCGGCTCCACGTCGGCGCAGACGGCATCTTTAAGGGGAGACGTAAGGAGCCCCGAGTCCTACGCTTGGCCACGCGGCTCGGGCGGGAGCGGGGTGAGGAGGCCGGACGCTCGCCTGGTGGGACGTCACATCCTGGCACCGCACGAGGCTGCCTCTCTTTACGCTTCAGACTCCCTGGAGACCGGGGAGCAGAGGCCCCTTTGTTCCGATCCCCGTCTT